CCCTGAGTCCAATCCCCAGTACAAATAAATAAATAAATATACTATATCTTGATTTTATAAATGGGAATAGATTGCACTCTTAAATTTATGGGGAATGAAGAATAACATCTGGATTATTCTAATTTTTTTTCTACATGATAGAGACTCCTCACATATGCTCATGCATATGAATAGCAAAACACTATAGCTTTCTAAATATTTAATTAGAAGAATTAATATCTCAGCCATTCTTGAAACAGAGTGGGAAATTGCATGGTTTGTATTAGAAACAGGAAGATATATATGAACAGCTAATGAATGAAAAGCTTTTCTAGAATGCTAGCCTACATTTTTCAGCTTGAGATCATTGTCTTATACTATATTGTGAAAAAACTTTTTCTTCTTGTTCCTTTTTAAAAAACACATTAAAGGTCTGCATCATAATTCAATGTTTTCTTTTCCTCTTGAGACTCTAATTGAATTAATATGTCTCTGCCTAGACACTATAGATTTTTTTGTAGGAATAAAATGGTCTGACTCAGGATATCAAATTGGGAAATCAGTATAGAAAGTGCCAGATTACACAGAATTTGATTAAATGCAGTATACTCTGGAGGGAACTTTATTTGTTGTTACTTACCTAGCTTTTTTTTCTAACCACTTTGCTTCTCTAATATAGTGAACTATTGAAGCATTTACAAAACAATTCCCTCCTTCTATCAGAAGCTGAAATTTTACCCTGTTCATTCAAATGCAACATATTCTAGGACAGATTTCACTCTAGAGTGAAATAATAGCCATCTTGATTCTGTACTTAAAAAACCTGGTTGTCTAAGTGTCTCTAAATCCTTTGTGTCCATTTATAGACATTTTTAATCAGCAAGACCTATTTAAATTCTTTCATTGCTTAATCTGGAAGCCAAGGGACACTCCAATTTCATTCTTCAACTCTTTAAATAGGCAATGATATTATAAGTCAGAAGTATTTGATATTTTTGAATATTTGAATATATCATGTTTTTTTTTCCTTAAGCAATAGTACTTAGTCTATTTGCCAAAGGATGGCACTTATTTGTTGCTTTTTCAGTTTATGGTTCTTTCTTTATCCTTCTGCCTCTCCCCAAACCCCAGCCCCTTTTCAATTTAAACTTAAGATGGAAATCTTTTCTTGAAGGTGTCTGAGCCTTATTCACACAGGATCTGATTCCATTAGATCTCATTACTGATTTATAAAATTTCCCCAGTACTCAGATTAGCAACAACATGCTCTTAATGCTTCTATAAATACCATCATGTCAACTGATTTAGATCTTAGGGACCAGAGAGATTTATTCACTTCCAATTACTTGAATCAGTGTCAGTGTTGAGTGCTTCAATAAGCCTATCAATGTCAGTGCTGTTTGCTTCTTTGGGATTTAGTAGCTGCTTTATGTGGCAAAGGTTAATGACTTCATTCAAATGCAACATATTCTAGGGCAATTTATGAATCTCATTTGTGGCCTCTCCTTGTAGGTAATGTGGTATGATTCTTTTGATAGATTCAAGGTTTTCTTCTTTTCTTTGACTTTCAACAGTTTGGAACAGTATTTATTTTAATTGGTGTTCATTTAGAATTTGTACTGGTAAATTTTTGTCTTATCAAATTGGGAAAATCTTGGCCATTATTTCTTCAATTTTTTTTCTTCCTCATTTTTTTTCTCTTGCTGAGAAAATGTATACTGAATTGTCATGTTAGCAAGGCTCTGAGTCTTTGTTCATTTTTAAAAACCAAGGTTCTGTTTAGGTTTATTTATTTATTTATTGCTTCGGATGATTTCTTATTGCTCTACTGTCAAGTGTGCTTACTTCTTCCTCTATAATTTCCTTTCCTTTTGAACCCAAGGGCACTTACCACTGAGCAACATCCTCAGTCCTTTTTTTTTTAATATTGTACTTAGAAACAGGATCTGGCTGAATTGCTTAGGCCTCGCTAAGTTACTGAGGCTGGCTTTGAAATCACGATCCTCCTGCCTCAGCCTTCTGAGCCGCTGGGATACAACAGGCCTAAGCCACGGTGCCAGGCAACTTTTAAAATTTCTGAAACTATCTTCTTTATTTATAGAAAGTCCATTTGATTTTTAAAAGTCCTTCCCCCCCCCCTCTGCTGAGATTTTGTTCCTCGTGTGATTTTCATCTGCTGAAAACATTTTGTTTTATTTCATTGAGGATAGTTACAAGAGTCACATTAAAATCCTTACGTGTCAGTTTCAGCAGCAGCTTCTTAGTCTCTCATGTTTGGAAGTAGAATTTCTTTCCTGCCGGGGATTTTTTGTTAATCCTTTCTTGTCCTGGTTAATGTGATGACCTCCTAACTACTCCCTGCTTCTGTTCTTGCCTGCTACAGTCCATTCTCAATACATTAGCGTGATCCTGCCTCCAAAGGTCCCCCTATTTCATTCGGTAAATCAATAAAGATGTTTATAATGTCCTCAATGCTGGTGGAAACTGCTCGTCCATGGCCTCCAGGTCTCGTGCTTATGCTGACTTCTGACCATCCATAAACATCTGTGCTACTTACCTTGAAAGGTATGTCTGCCCTAAACTTACGGCTCTGCTTACATTTCTATGATAAGGACACTGAGTGAGCACACACACACCCCCAAAGGAGAACTCAAAGAGGATTTTAAGCGTCCCCCACTTTTTCCAGAGAGCAACAAAGCGCACAGGCTGAAGGAGGGTTAAGAGCTTCTGGGCTCAGGGTACTCTTGAAACTCCTTCACGTCATGGTAGCCCAGATTGGAATAGACTAGAACCAAACTAAAGTGCGATCGCACAGGTGCTGCTACCTGGTCAGAGGGAGTGACCGACCCAACTTTCCGGCGCTCCCTCTGAGCAGGCGCCTGGGGGAGGTGGGTGGGAGGCGGAACCCTGACGCGCGCCCCCCTGCTTCTGGTCGGGCCTGGGTCGTGGTGCACCACGGGAGCGCCGCGTGGGCGGGCATGGAGGAGAGTGGCGATTCTGAGCCGACCCCGGGCTGTAGTGGTCTGGACTCGGGCGGCGTTCGCGATGGCGGAGGCGCTCACAGGTGGACTCCGGCGGACGCCTGGATGAGCACCCACCCGAAGGTTAGGAGGCGCTAGAAGAGCAGGGCGCCAGTTCCGGTCCCTGAGGCCGGCGGAACTCTAGGGCAGCGCTCGAGTTCTAGTAGGCCGGCTGGCCTAGCGAGCGGGACCAAAGCGCACCGGCCGCGCGAAGGATGGTTTGTTGTTTAAATGAGTGGAACCCTGGCTGACACCTCTCCCAGCAACCCCAGCCCGGCACCAAGCCATTCTTAAACTGGACCCTATATGGCACCCCTCCCTTCCCAGTCTGGAGACCCTCATAAGCACTCCACTCTTGTCCGTTTTGCTATCCAGAGAGAGCGTCTTTCGTGTCTTAGCTGGTTCCCAGGGACCGTGCAAGTCGGAGTGTGGGCCGTGGATGAGATCTAGGACCCCCAGTGATAACGTTTAGGCAGTCACATTTACACTTAGCCTCGGACCCGGGGTGTGCACCTTGATTCTGCACAGCTGCCAATAACCAATTTTTTAGATCTCTTGGAAAACTTTGAGGAAGTTCTTGCTCAAGATGATTAGCAGCAATGAAGATAAAGATAGCACCTATCTTGCTTCTGCTTGGGGAATTGCTGCCTTATACCAATATTGTCCCAATTCCTGAATAGACAGTGAATGGATATGTGAATTTTGTAGGAATCTTAGGGACTGAACTGGTATAGTAGACTGGCTCTCTTCTATTTGAAAGCTGTAATTCACAGATAATTGTCTGGAAACAGTCAAGAAAAGGAAAATTTTGAAGATAGAAGTCTGAAAAGAGTGATTTTTTTTT